TGTTTTGGTTTTCCTTTTTCCAATGGAGGGATAAGTATTCCAGTTTCTATTATTTCAATAATCAGGTCAACATTAACCGAACAATACACTTGATCTATATTTTGATTTTATGTGCACGAACAGATTTCTCTCAGTATGACCAGAAATGTCAATCTGCTTATTTTCTCTTTGTTCTCATTTCAAGTTATGGAAAAAAAAAATCAATCAACATCATGTACTGTGATGCACTTTTAAGGTATAACAAAAAAGAAATCAGCTTAGGGACATACAAATTAATGTGTTAACGGAGATTATCTAAATGTTGCTTTATTTTTAGTCAGAAACTTCAAACTGTGGTTTACATCAAAGAACCTGCAGCTCATTGTTTTTCCATGCATTAACAGTCTTTAAAACAAAGGAAACAAAAATCATGAGAACAGGCTATTTTAAACCTGATATAGCATCAACCAGACAAGGCCTGACTGGTGCATCTCTGCTTCCGTTTCATCACTTCAGCTTTTAGAAGAAACTAATTCCACTATTGCAAAAATGTTTTTTTTTTTTTTACAAAATCAAGCTTACTTGGAATTAAAAAAAAGAAAAGAAAGTATGCATTTTAAAAACTTACCTGCCAGCGTTGAGGTGTGTCTGAAGGCTCGGACTTGGGAATCTGATAGTCCAGTGAGGAGGGAGATGACTGTGTCCATCATGTACTCATCATAGATGATACTGTATTGACACTGACGCACTAGCACGGAAATGAATTCACAAAAGCTTGTTTTGAACTTCTTCCACTGGGGCCCGGCTATGGTGAGAGGATAGTCGCCGCTGTCCTACAGGGGAGACCGGCAAAACAAACAGACTTAAAAACTACAAAAGAAAATCTGTTTTCTGCTATTCTTGGGGGGTAACAACAAAAAAAAAACCATATAAATTAGTGGGGAAAAAAACGACAGTAATGATATCCGAGATGCTTTACCTCATCGAATTCCTCTGTCATTCGTCGAATGATCTCAGAGTTCTGCATATTGCGAAACATTTCTCCCGACACCACGCCTGATGGATAAAGTCTAGTTAGAGCACATCTGACTACGCTGCCAAAGGGAGGGATAATTTATGAAACGTATATTTGGCATTTGATGACCTTTGAACTAACACACCTTTACATCCTGAGCACTGGATGAAGAAATTGATGAGATCTAGCAGTGCAACATCTCTGTCGTGCTTGTAGGACTCAATCCACTCATCAACAACAGACTGGGGATAAATACATTTAAAAACATTCAAATACAGCCAGAAAACAGTAACTATTGTTGTTCTACTGTCATACATGGGTTGTTATTTTACCTGCATTGCACTCCTACCCACTTTTACCACCTCAAACAGCATCATGTTTTCCATGCCATTCTCCTGATGGTGGCCATTTATGCGGCCTGCTCCCTTTCCACCTTTGCCTTTCTCCCCTGCCGCCTTCTTCCCTTTCTTCCCACCCTGCAGAAAGCACAGAGCGCCGAAATGAGGTATGTTTACAACTACAACTCGACTAATATCTACTGAAAAAAAAAAAAGCCCTTATCTATGCTTTCCGTACCTTTCCTTTGGCTGTAGTTCCACTTCTTCCATCGAGATCCTCAGAGAAGTCTGTGTCTGAGGAGAATCTGGTATCTGTGTCCCTGGCAGAGGCAGGAAAAAGTAACAAGATTAAACATTTATATCAACTTCAACATTGCCTGTAGGTTCGGGCTGGTCACAGCTACAAAGACATGCCAAGGTTTTAAAAAGGTAGTTTCGAAACCCACTACAAATTTCCTATCAAAATTGTTTCGAAAGTTGCATACTGTCCAAATCAGTTGCAATTCATCACTGATCATAACTGCATTTGGCTACATGGTTGCTGTTATACAGTGTAGTGTATGTTTATTATTTAGTGAACATCATCCACCAGCAAAAGTCAAACTGTGTTGCACATATGACATACAAAAAAAAAGTAGTTACTTACTGAGGGTAGGCGAACTCTGGTGGTATCTCTGGTGCTGCTATCATTTCTGTAACATCTTCTGGTTAACGTCAACTTTACAACTGACTTAAGATTATTCTCACAAATGAGACAGGGGAGGTTGCATGTGACCTAGAAAACAGTAAAAAGAAGAGAAAGAAAAAGGTTCAAAAAGCTAATCAAGAAACGGCGTCAAATTAAGAGAACGATATTATGTGATAACATTAATGTTCTCTGTAGAGAGAAACCAATTTTTAGAGAGGAGGGAGAAAAAAAAAGTTTCACATGGTAACAGGGGGCGGACACCAACTCGACTGTCACGCTTGCTGCCCTCCTATTGGCTGCTCTCTCCTCGGTTCTTTTGGTTTACGCATGACGTCACGCGGGCAAGCAGGCAGTTTCATCCTCAAAGGCCAAATATGGTGCTGTCCATTCCGCCCCATGCATATGTAAACCAATGAAAGGGCAGGCTCGACATCAACAGGCCACAGAGAGGAGAAAAAAAAAAGAAGCGCCGCACGGTTGTGAAACGAGACATCCACAATATCGCGTTAAAAACTTTTTTGGGGGTGTTTTGATTTTTAGGGGGGATTTTTCCTAACGATGCAAAGAAATTGGGAAAAAGCTTTCCTTTGCAAATAAAGGGCTGGAATTAAAACGCCACGAAGAGACAAAATGTTCAGTCCTGGGAGACGCAAACAAACTCCTCCCGTGCCGATTTGCCGCTCTGGGGGGTGGAAAAAAATGGTCCAGTGCGACTTCCATTAGGCGCACAAATTACACAAACAAGTATCTGAGCAAACTTCGTGAAACGATCGGAAGATTTCGACGTTCGACACGCGCAAAGCGGCGCTTTGTTAACAAGACGTGTCCCTTAGGAAGCGCTCAAAACAGAAAAGCGCAGGGAAAACGTGCCTTTGGCGGCAACTTATCTCAAAACAGCGTTTCTTCACGTGTTACCGTCACGCGCGCGACTCCCCGCTCGCGGTGGGATTGTACCTGACAAGTCGACCCGGTTTTATGGGTGTAGACTGAAAAAAGTGGCGCCAAATCGGGCTGCGCCGCTTGTAAAGTTGCAACGGAGTATCGCGTCGAGAGGGGCGAAGCCTTGAACCGGGTCTTTGCGAACGGAGGCTAACGGCGACTTTCAAAAAAAAAAAAAAAATCACCGTCTCAACTCACTCCAAGCACGCCGACGCAGCTGCGCTCTTCGTCGGCTCCTGTCAAAATTGACGCCGGTGCGCCGCTGGTGCTAGCGCCACCAGCTAAGGAACCCGAGGATCTCCGCGTCTTTTCCCCCCCTCGACGTTAGCTTGTCGGGACTCGGTGAACTGAGCACGCACGACTCGGCGAGAACTCGCTGCTTGTCGTCGAACGAGCAAAGCGGCGAACATTTACGGATTATTTCAGACGGATTTTCCAGCTAAAAACTCGTTCGCTACGTCCGTGGGACCACATCATAACAAAACAACGTAAGCTCTACTGTACTAGCCTAAGCTAAAGAGGAAAAAAAATTAGCCAATACACAATGACGCTAATCAACCATTTGAATGCGAGAATAAAGTCCGTTTTTTCCCCCACGTAACACCTACAGACAAAATGCGTCCCAGAGTAAGCACATATTAATAGTTAAACTGCATTTAGCAAGCAGATAACAAGTACCGCTAGTTAGCCATGTTAACAACTAACGCTAGCCTTACCTAAAAAAAACATCACGTCCTTGCGTCCTCCATCTTGCCTCGGGAGTTCCAGTACCGTATTGCATAAGCACCAAACACTTTGTTTACAAATAAATTGCGGGTAAATGTCTACATAAAAACGATAGAGCGTTTTTTCGTGTTACAAATTGTGTGATTTCAGCGGTTGTGCCGAAAAATAACTCCGCTAGCCAGCTAGCGACCAAATTAGCTCTGTACCGCGAGCTAGCGCAGCGACTCGGTTCAAGGCAGACATCCGCGCTCTGTGCTCCTCCACAGCTAGCCTGGCTAGCAAAATACAAATCAACTAAGTTCCACATAGCTCTCCGCCATTTTACAGCTAACTTACCTTGTTGTAAAATGCAGTCGGGGCACAATCGTAACTTTTCTTATTCTTAACCAGTCTCTCGCACAATCCCGCTACAAATCTGTTAAAAAAAGAGTTTAAAAGTCGCGGTCAGAGGCAGTTTCGGACGTTCTCTCACCCCGCTCGCTCCGTAGTTCGGTTTGTTGTTTCGACGACCTAGGAGGAGGAAATCCTGGTGCAGAGCTACCACCTAGCGGCCACATCGACCGACCCCTTTAGCAACACAGCCGATGGCCTGACATCTAGTGGCCACCGATGGGTACTACAACCGAATTTTAACGGGGGGGGCCTGCCCTTCTGCACAGATAGGAAAATTTAAAGCGCACAATTAAACAGAATGGACATACAAACAGGCTTTTAACCGATTATAGCCGATTTAAACCAGTAAGACTGGGTAATTACTGTGTAACTTGTATCACCTTGTTTTAAAGGAGTTATATACTCCTTTAAAATACTCTGTTTAGAACGTAAACAGAAAACAGTTCATAGTTGAAGTGCAAACAATAAAAAATTAAAAGAAATTGTGACTGAAGTTATATACTCCTTTAAAACAAGGTGTAATAAACCAGAATTTCAAAAGGTCCACAAGAACATTAGGAATATACAAAAATATCAACCCCTCTGCTCTTCATTCAATGTATGTAAATCAGCTTACAACACTGATTGCAATCAATTTACTATCAATTCATTTGGCTGACCTTATGTCCGCACTCCAGAGTAAAAGATCAGTTTGCCGCTGAGCCGCTTTAATGGATTTGCTGCCCATGCCATCATATCAAGACATCCGATTTCAAATCTTGTCTTCAAATCAACATATAAATTAGGAATATACTATACTGTTTGGAATAGTTGTCAAATCTCCTGCCTAATGGGTGAAAGTTGGTGTGGAGTTGTTTGAAACTGCAGTCACAGTAAAAAAGTCAACATTGAAGCTATAAACAAAACACAAATGCACCTCAAGTCAAATTATTCAAGATTTATTTAGTTAATTTACAGAAAAGATGCAAAATAGACATCTTCCAACATAAAGACATTATGATAAAATCCCATCTCAGCCTGTGTATTAGCTTATGCGATGTGAGAGAAATAACAGTGAATGAAACCTCTCAGCCACTTAACTTAGGATAAAGCAAAATTAGAGTCATCACACAAAACTAGAGAAAGGAAGAAAACCATGTTTGCCCAAAAAGTCTATTTACATGCATGTTACACCAATTAAAACAAAGACACAATAACAATATGCTATACATACAATATACAGCTATTGTGAAAATATTGGTTCCTTAAAATATATATTTATAATTAAAATGCATTTACAACAGTAAGCATATTACAGGGTATCTAATATACATGAATTATCAAACTAGTACATTAATTTATTATACATACACACACACTTTTTTAGGCCAACATGGTGCTGAAGCATAGTTTCCTTGTGAGTGGAAAAAAAAAAATAAATGCAAACACATGTCAGTAGTGAAACAGTCAGTAAAAAAGAAATAAAGTAATAACCACCTCTTAATCTGTTGTGTATATGCTGCTAATCTTTGTGAAAACCTAGAAATTCCCTCCGAGAATAACTTAACTACCACACCTGCTTTAAATTATTACATTTCGAACATAAAGCAGCATCCATGATAGACAGCAGCTTCTATTTTCCCTTAAGCGACATAGGTTTTGATTTTTTGTGTGATGGCTCCGCAGCAGATCGGACACTTGACGAGCGACACCGAGCACTGCTTGCAACTGACCAGATGACCGCACGGGATGAAGACGATGCAAATATCTCTGTCCATGCAGATTTTGCACTGTTTTTCTCTCTGCAGCTTCATGAGTTTCTCCATCGGGTCCTCATCTAAAAGAAACGGGTGGAAGAAATTAGACGATGGCCAATTACTTGTGTGAAATTCTACTACAGATCAGTACATTGTGTGTTGTACAAAAAGAGAAATCCACAGAATTGTAAGCAATAGCACAGGGTTCCAAAAAGTAATTATAATAATAAAAAATAGTATGGTAATTTTAGAATATTTTCTGACAGTTATTAATGAAGAACCCAATTAATTTCAATGGATGGTGCCAATCTTTTTTTTTTAGGTTTTCAGTTCATTTTCAGGCTTTCTATTTAAATCACACTATATAAACAATTACCTTTTTCATTGGCTGAAAATCCATTCTCATGACTTGTAGCCTAGAAGAAGAAACAGGGAGTCATTTCCAGCACATGACTAAATTGATGCAGAGAAACAACAATAGTGCTGATAACAGTAAAAAGCACATTCACATACATAAAGAGGTGCAAAAGATCAGCAATTTATTTTGTTACCAAAAGAACACAGTAGATAGTATCAATGCTACGCTAGATAGTATCAATGCAGCATGATGTTCAGGAATGCGTTAAAATAGCTGAAAGTTATGAGTGATAACACATTCCAAATAATTCATACTGGGATCTAACCAATGACATTAGATACTCAAAAGAAAATGTACAAGATTTACTGAAACCCAACGACAGCAATAAAAGTTACATTTAAAACCAACATCACAGTATTGTTAATATTTTCCAATCCAAAATTTCATTCTTTGCCCAAATCAAATTTCAAGGTCTTGTCACATCTAGGAAAATATTAACTATTAACTCCTTGGCTTTTGCTATCTCTATATTTTACAAATCCTACACTAGCACAGTGCTTGTTAGCATCCACTGGACAATGTGGTAGGATTATTTTACGTAATTTAATGGTGTTAAGATCAAATTTGAGCACCTTTAATGAGAAATCGAGGCCCGAGTTAGCCTAATCTCTAAAGCACAAATGTAATAGCTTTGTTTTCACATTTGTTTTGCAAATAAATAAAAATAGAAATCTGCTTTGTATTAAGAACCAGGATTTTAAAGTCCAGCTTAAAATCCTGAACAAAGAAAACCTGGACAATAGAATTTAGTTAATGGTTAATTTATGAATTTTGACAGTTACTTAAAAACCTAAGTTGTGATGTGACAAATTGAAACTGAACACAATTTATAGATGTATTAAGATGTCAAGCTTTATTCCTTAGAAATTCAAACTGTTTTTTTTGACACCGTCATACAACATAAGGTCTGGAAGCTCAAACATTTGTCACTGAGGGCTTTTTTCCTCATAAATTTGTCCAAACATGTAAAGTAATAAAATATCAAGCCAACATGATTATCATGTTGTATCAGATAAACATAGAATGGAAAAAGACTAAATAAATACTCACAGCACTACTTTGTTCATGTTTTTTTAGTTGAATGTTGTTGACAAATGCAACTCCCTTTTCTTCCAGCAGGAAGCTGCAGCTAATCAAAAGAAAAACCCACATACATTTAAGCTTTAAAAGAAATACAGCAACAAGAATATCACTGTGGGTGGACTATAGTAATACAGCCAGAAATAAAAAGTTAGCATTTACCCAGGGTACTCCTTAGCATGTTCTACCCAGGGGTCTTCATCGGGCTGCCAGCCTCTTAGGCCTCCACCACAGCAGAAACATAACACCTTGTCTTCTTCCCCTAAAGAAAAAAAAAAGAGACAATGCCAACATTTGTATGTCAATGCCACAATAGCATTAAACACTTTCTCTGTTCTCATTTCATATCTGTGCTCTACCTGTACTGTAGAAACCAGCTCTCGCGAGCCTCTCGTGGTCGACGGGATGCCGAACATGAGCGAAGCTACTGAGCCTCCCATTGAAAGTCTCCATATTTTTCCCCTGGTTCACGATTGCATCTTCCAAAATCGGCTCATCTGCGTTGTCCAGCAGCGGGACGTTCCCCACGTCGTGGCCGAGGATGAAAAAGCAGTTGGGATAGTGCTTGGCGTGTTCTTCCCAAGGGCGGTCTCCGTTTTCCCAGCTGTTCAGCTTGTTGCCGCAGCAGAAACACTCCACCCGGTCGTCCTGTCCCAAGTAGTAGAAGCCGGCTTGAGCCAGGTCACTGGGTCTTACGGGCGAATTGGAGGGCCAAGAAGAAAAGGTGTCAAGGCGGGCCTGTTCACTCTTCATGTGAGGTATCCGTGGGTAGAGGGTCTCGTCAACCACTTCACCAGTGGACAGTCGGTACTGCATATCTTCTACAACTTCGTCGTAGATGACAGGGGATATATAATTCGGCTTCATGGTGTTTGGGTGGCAGCACTCGAGGAACCGGCATGATGGAGAAACCTGCACAAGCAAGAAACATACAGTTACAACATCAAAAATGTTGTTACAAAAAAGAAAACAAGTTGTTCTTACATTAACCAATAAATATATTTACCTCCTTATGCCTTTGCAAAGGCGTGTCTCCACTATGCCAGTCCTCCACCGTTTGATTGCAGCTGAAACACTGGACTCGGTCTGCATTGCCAGTGAAGTAAAAGCCCGCCCTCGCCAGCCGTGTAGGCGGGACCTGCAGAGCCAGGGTGGATCCCCGGAAAGACTGGAAGCGATTGTCGAACTTTGAGAAGTCAATGCAGCAGTCTGACTCCAAATTGCCTTGCTCAGACATAATTGGGCGAGGAAATCGCTGGGTGGGTAAAAGTTGGAGAGAGGCAGGATATCTGAGGAGGGAAAACAGAAAGTGTTGGGTAATATGTAGGCTTGGAAATGGGCCCTTTAAGAGAGGCAGCCGGAGCGTTCATCACATGCAGACGCTGAATAGACCATGTGTGGGATGGGCATTTCAAAGGGAGTAACCCGGCACTCCATTACAAGGCAGCAATAATAACTTTTCTCAAAGGACGACACAGAGCACCGAGGGAAGCCTTGAACACTTTTCCTTTCCAGGAATACAGATGCAAATAGATGAGCACACAACCTATTTTATGGACGGAATGGCACACCGTGTTCTTGACACTCAGGAAGTTGGCAAGCATGTCAGGAATTCATGGCAACAATTTAATTGCGTAATCAGGGTGGCTTTAACTGCAACCTCCCTGTTGTCACGCCGGTGTGAATATGCCTCTGAATCAGGATGTGCAGCTCGCACCTATTAATTATACACAAGCATTGATCGGTTTGGGGATGGGGTGAAGCTGCTGTAAAAGGCGGTGTGTTTACATTATGGACTGTGATCTTTGCTCTGCATACGTGTCAAAATTCCTCCCAAGAGAGCTGTGATCGGAGCAGGAAGCTCTTAAATTCTCATGCCACCCCCTCACCAAAACTGAAAGTGAAAACTTGTAAAAAGTACTTTCCCAGCATGTGCCAGTAAACGCACGCCCGCATTTTTGAACGGACATTAGCCTTAAAACTGTTTTAATTTGAAAGCCGGAGACGAAAGCAAACTTGATTACTCAATCCCGGTCCACGGGACACATTACACACACTCTGAATAATGGGAATCAAAGCAGAGTATCCTCTTAAAACCATTCGCAGCAACGCGTTCAGCTGAAGTTCTCAGTTCGGACTTTAACCTTGGCTCCTGTTTCTTGCGGTGTCCTTTAAACCGCGGAGTAGCAACAGCGGCTATGTTTGCTAGTTAGGTTAGCATGATGCTACTTTGTACAAATACGCAGTTCCGCATAGCTTAGAAAAACTCAACATCTACCTTCTTCGCGTCTTTTGGACGGGTCCGTCGTTTCTTACTTCTTTCGGTCTTAATGATATCCCCACCCACGGCGAAGTACAATGACTGCTGGAGCCCGTTTATTTTATAACCCCTCTGGACGCGAGGAAACAACCCGGGCAGTTCCTCCTTCTCAGAGCGTGATGACGTCACGAGAAAGGCCTGCGTGGAATTTTTAAGCTTTCATTCACATATTTATCTTGCCTGACGCCTGAAACTCACTTGTGTCAAGTTGAGAGTCTAAAATTCATTGTTTTCGTTTAATAAGAAACCAATCTGCAGGGTCCATCATGCAAATAACAAATTCCTTAATTTTTTTTATTGGTTTAATCCAATAAAAAGATCATGTCCATTCCAGTGGACGAGGGCTCTGCAGGAGTTAAGGGACCACATTTACAATGGAGGACCACACTCAAAAGATGAGAAAAATGTTTGACATTAAGTTTGAATATAATTCAAAATAAAATAAAAAAATAAAACTATTTAAGAAATTCAAACAGTAAAACGCTTTATGTTGATTCACTATAAAGTGACATATTTAAAATAGTGATGCACCGATGACAATTTGAGCTGATAGATTACCAATATTGATATTACAGCTGTGACTGATAATCAAGATTTACCGATGTTGTTTATATATTTCACTACGCTTTTGAAACCTTGAAAAAATTACACCACTGACTTTACCACAGTGTCTGCTTCAGTTAACTGCATTTACTTGTATTTTCAAATGTGATATTTATGAAATGTTTCAGAGTACATCTTTACTGAAATTGATCAAATGAACAGTTCAAAAAATGTTGACAGTTTTTAGGGTGTTTAAACATCAGTTGGAATTTATTGTGACAACAATCAATCTAAATCTTATTGTGACAAAAATGATAACGATAAATGACATGCTAAAATGTTCACCTTTACTATCCTACCCCTCCAGCCACAAGTTGGAAGTAGATATTGGTTGATAATATTGGCCCAATGTTATTAATTGGACCAATACCAATATGGTAAAAAAGAAATTCAATGCAGAGTTGCATCATTGCAGATTGCTGTAAAGTGAGTCTGTGAAATATTTAGACAAAACATAAAAAAAAATTGTTTAGGTCTGACAAAACTTGTTTCAAAATGTGAAATATGGGTTGTCGTCATGGAATATGACAACTAGAGAAAAATACCATTTTACACTAATGTATATTTCAGGCCCCTAGCAGACTGAGTTTATTTAAATTTGACCAGAAATGCAACTTAACTACACACAGACTTAGTCCTTTTATTAAAAAGCTGTACTTTTTCCTCTCTTTTCATATAACAGTTGTAGATGTGTCCGTGCGCGTGAAGGACGATTCTTGACATCTGTGTGAAACTAACACCTGCTGTATGAATTTCACTGATATGACTTCATGAGCTTCCTCAGAACAAATAGTTTCAGTTACAGGGAACATTCATAACATACTTACAATTTTTTTGTTCATGCCGAAATAGGCTCAGTCCAAAACTGTTCATGTAGAAACAGATTTGGACTGAGGCCAGGAGGTTGAAATTGATGAGGCAATTTTGTTACCGGCTAAAAGTCATTCATGGCCATTTCCCACCACCGCCTGTTTGGCGTGTCTTGACTCTATTATGCACTACGTGGTTATAAGGGTCTTCCACTTATCGCGATAACTGATGTCTGACAAAACTTCCTAGGTATTACTAGTAAAACAGCTATTCTGACTCCCACTGTTCAAATCACAATACGTCCATTGTCTACCGAAACAGCTCTTCAGGGACAGCCTTGATTAAAAATGTTTAAGTATCAGGTTGTATTAAAACAAAAGTACAAAATAAAGAAATGCAAGCTTTTTTATTCTGTTGTTAAAACAATGCATTGGTTGATGCAGTGATTACTGTATGGTCTTACTTGCAACATCTTTGGCATTTTGATTCTATATGCATTTTCATATGCAAAAATGACACCTACAAAGATGGCCGTCAGCTACAAAGTTATCGTCACATATGAACTATATTTTAGTTGAGTGGAATTTCAGTGGAATGCATTGGATTCATTGAAATTCAATTTGGACCCAACTGGATTTCATAGCTGTTTGTTGTACATTCTAACTTACTGATGTTTCAGGTCAAGCTTGACTTCAGAAGCTGTACTGTCAGTCACCAGGAGTTAAATTTAGCACTTTGCGTAACAAGAAACTTAAGACAATATACTTTAGAAATTGGTCCTTGAAGATATAAAAAAAAAAGAATGGCACAGAGCACAAAGCCATTTGTGACTCCATTACAAAATAGAGTAATAAAAAGTGAGGAATAAAACAGCCTCAACAATCACAAAGTCACTTTTTTTTTATTTAAGTACAACAAATTTATTCCAACCAGATTTCATTGCCACTTCATGTTTCGTTTTCGCCATTTCTGCACTTCAACTTTCACAGAAAACGCGCTGTGCTGCTGCAAAAACTGTGCTTAGACACGTCGGTCTGAAAGCCCCAACAGGAGGTACTGATCAGCCTCAAAAAACAGTCCAACCCCTTTTCATCACCAGTGCCTCTTTCACATGTCACCGACCACACCAAATAACAATGGGCCTGCTCAAGAAGGACTGAGTGAGATGATGGTTTTCATCGGGATGCGACGGTAGCGGTTTGAACCAAACCACGACCAGCGAGTCGGTGAAAGCATCACCCCTCCACGATCCGGCGGAGTATGTTCCCCAAACCACCCTTGGCTATCTGGAGGGGGGTCTTCTCCTCCTTGTTCTCAATATAAATGCTGGCACCGTGTTCTACCAGCAACTTGGCTGCTTCCACACGCTCTTCATCACACGCAAGATGGCTGTAAGAGAGAAGATACATAAATTGGTGCCTTTATGTTTTTATAAAAGTCAGGTTAAAACTTCAACTGATGACATATTGGTCTGGTTACGACTTTCATTCTACATATTTAAATCCACGCTGGCTGAGACATTTTTGGACACGTGTTTGCCCACGTACAGCGCCGTGTTGCCCTGCGAGTCCTGGATGTTCGTTGAGGCACTCTGCTTGAGAAGCAGCTGGATGAGACGGTGGTTGCCCTTGGCCGCCGCTCTGTGCAGGGGAGTGGAGGCCAACTTGTCTGTGGCATTGGGGTCCGCTCCATTTTCCAGCAGCATTAAGGCGATCTGCAAACAGGGGACAGAATTGTCTCGCATGCCAGTCGCCCGTAACCCCGTTTTAAACTTTGCTTCCTGTCAAATGAGAAAAGCCCGTTTCCTCATCCAAAGTCTCGCCGCCCCCAAGGGCCTCTTTCGATCGCCACTTGCTAGGGGAAATTTAAACCAAACGCGTAGGATGTGAGAGCAAAACTAGAGGGTGGCTTGGCCGAGACCACTGGGAAACTGTAAGAGAAGTTTTCCACTGGTAGTAATGGACAAAAAAAAAAAAAAAAAAAAAAGTACCTTACGTAATGTGACTAATTTATTCAACTTACTTTAGATTTTTTTTCTTTCTTTAAGCCGTCGGACTGTCTTTGGAACTGGAAGGAAAACTTTACAATGTTTTGCTACAAAAATAACTCCAGGTCTTTTCGGGTGAACATCAATTTTCAAGTTCTGCAGATTTCTCACTGGATTTAGGTCTGGACTTTGACTAGGTCATTTTAACACAAACAAGTTTTGATCTGAATTTAAAACTATTTTAGTGCATTTATCTGCATGTTTGGAGTAATCCTCCAAGTCCTTCTTCAGCAAGAGACTATTTCCCAACCCTTCTCTAAAACCACCCTATATTTAGCTCTGCCTACCACATCATGATGCTGCCACCCCTGACTCACTGCGGCACTGTGTCCTCAGTGCCGAGACCAATGGGAAAGTGTTGGGAGTGTTGGTTTATTTTTGTCTCATCTGATCGAATCACTTCCTTCCACAGCGACTGCTGGTTCCTCTAAATCCCAGCAGGATTTCTTTTGGTTTGGCACACACTAAAGGCCAGATTCTTTTGAAACGAACAACTAACATGGCTGTTGACCTCAGCAACTCTTCCGGTTACCACAAGCGGTCTGTTCGTCTCCTGGCTTGTCATTTTGAGAGGGTGGCAATGTATTGATATGTTCTCGCTGGGCGAAGGAGAGCGGACCTTATCGACATCATCTCTCTCTACAGTGTGCATTTGTGGCATTTGTTTGACCCAACACGATGCCATTTCAACTAGATTTTCTGTTGTTTTTTTTTATTATTTACAGATTGTTTCTCTACACACTCATCGGTTTCTTTCATGAGGAAGGACAGGAGAGCTAAAATATTTAAGCTGATTCAAAACAAACAAAAGTGAATATATTTCAAATGTCTTTGCGTCTCTATTGTTCAATTTGGAACTGATTTTTACAATCGTTTCCATCACATTCAAGACTTTCAGATGGCACAGTAACCTGGTGGATCTGTAATCTGCAGGAAACTGCGAGAGTTTTAAATTGTGTGCATTTCTCTTGTGATTCTTTAAATTGCACTTAAGGGTAAAGGTTACTTGTTGTCTTTGTGCCTGCATTAAAAATTCTCACGGAGTTCACATCACAAAGGTGAGGCTGGACTACCTGCATTCTTAACCCAAGCATAATAAAAGCTGCATTGTTCACTTCATACACTGCAGTGGATACTGTTTCACACCTTACAATTCAAAGAATCTGTACTCAAATCTAAAACATTTAATCTGTCTGCATCTCCTCTTTCAAGAGCTGCCAATTGTAGCTGAATGATTACAACATGATGAAACTTACAGTCTCATTGTGTTTCTGTGTATAATAGCTCTGACAGCATCGTTTTTTTTTTCTTTTTACAAAGCAAGTCAGCAAAACAAAATATCCATTATTAGTGTTTATAATATGCAAAAAGAGGTAAATAGATGTTTTTCTCCTTCTTTCTTTCAAGTGTTGACTTTTGAGAACTTCACCACAGTGACACTTTAACAATATTTGGATGATATGATTTACAACATTTAATTTCCCCTTTGGGACGAATAAAGTATTTGAATTACATTGAATTTCCCTCACATCCTGGTTTATGGTTGTGGTTAATCAGAAGAACTGGTGCAGGGAGACCTATATCAGAGATAGCTGTAAATTCACCTCAGCAGTAAAGTGATTAATACGATTATTCTTGACCCCTGACAGGTCAGCCCAGAGGTGATTTACTTCTGGGACTTAACCCAGCCCAGAAGTACCTGGGCTGGGTGACATTTTAATACACAAATAGAATGCCTTTTAAGTCACTCCTGAAGAAAATAATATTTTTTTTACTCAAAACAAGACAAAAAAAAGTAAACGGCATAAGGCTGTTTTAATGCCGCCATTGCTGCATTTTTATCCCGCAAAAAATCTCTACACCACAATAGAGTAGCTATAATTTAGGTAATGTAAAAAGATTTTACTCTAACAATCAATTTCTCTTTATACTTCAAGAATGTATTTCTTTCCCATTAACTTTTTCCCCACCAACTCACTTTAATAAGCCTGTTTTGTTAAATTTAAAACTAGAACCTGGCAGTGGCAGTATTCTGTTATGGGAACACCATCATCAGGAAAAGTTGATAAGGAGATGGAAGAATTTTGGAAGAAAACCTTTCGGGCGTGTGCAAAAGACTGGTGGAAGTTCAACTTCAAGCTGAGCTACCATAAATGGACAGCCAGAGGTACAATGCAATGATTTAGAGTAAAGCTTTTTCCATGTCTTGAGTCCAGACATAAGCCCAATTAAGAATCTGTGGCAAAACTTCAGAAAAAAAAAGCACAAATAAACATACTGGTAGAGGCTGTAAATGTAGCATTTAGCTCAAATGCATGCCACACTTTTTGGATTTTTATTGAGAACCACTTCAGTTGTCACTTTGCTTTATGTTGATCGGTCACACCCAACAAAATACAATCAAGGCTGCAGCTGACTAAATGTGACAAGATGAAGAATGCAAAGGGATAAAATTACACTCCCATACACAAGTATGGAGTCTTTCGCATTTAATTTTTTTTTTTTTTTTTGCAACTGTACCTCGTATCTGTCTTTGGAGGCGGCATAATGCAGAGGGGTGCATCCATTTTGATTAACTGAATTCAGCTGGGCTCCTCTGCCTATCAGAGATCTCACTATGTCCTCTCTTCCTGCGGATGCAGCGATGTGCAGAGGACTCCACAGGGCCTGGGGGAGTGGATCACACATCACGCTGAAATAACAGCCCTTTACGTCAACACGTCACGAGGGAGGAACGCGTCACAATTCAAAGCTGAGCTCACGTCATCCTGCAGGTTGACCTCGACTCCCAGGCCGAGTAGAAACTCCACGATGTTGGTGTGTCCGGCAGAACAAGCCCAGTGGAGAGCGGTCCTGCCGTCCTGAAACCACACACAGCCGACATTAGCTCCCCTCCCTCACCGGTCACAGAGGATGCAGAGTGCACAAAGGCGGGGACGCTGACCTGGTCCGTTTTGCTGACGAGCGTTTTGTCGGACAGCATGGCCTGTTTCAATCTGTCGAGCTGCCCGCCGAAGGCTAAGTTGCAGACCTCCACGTTTGACACGGAGCTCTCCATCGCTCGGTGACGGTGGGCCCGCAGTTGTAGCGTTTGAAAGCTGGAGGATGACTCAGGAAATCGTGAGCTTCACGTCCGACGTGCGTGCACGTCGGTCTCTTCAAAATAAAAGTCCGCCACTGCTCCAGCCTGACGAGACGCTGATCTTCAATACATTTGATTTTGATAGACGTAGAATGCATCAATTGTGCGTCTATAAATTAATCATTTATTAGTCATTATTATGAATTATTCCTCACAAAACATATTTATTCATAGAAACATTAATAATTGGGGGAGGGGGTGTTTAAGGAGTGGCCAGACGGCAGCCACTGATAATTGAACTGCGACGTCAAAAACCAAGATTATAAAAATATATACTAAAGTATATTCTTATAAAGAAAATTCACAACTAGATAATCGTAATTGATCAAAATTAAAAAATAAATTAAGAGAATAATTAAATAAAATATCACTCCTCAAAGAGTTTTTAAAAAAAAAAATAATTGTCAGATGTTTTAAAAGACAATTTACCGGCATCCTCAAAGCATCCACACTAGGTGGCGCTGTTGGGTTTGGCTAAAACGACAACGCGCACATCTTATTTTGGTAGTCACGAAACTTGCAAGGCGGAAGTAAAACATGCAAGATGGACGCGCTCTTAGCCGAATAAATTAGAGGAGGGGGGAAGATCAAATACAATTAACACGTACAAACTCTTACCGTCTCCTCTTGTTATTTGTTTCGTTTCATTTATGAGCAGACATGGCGAGCACTCTGGTAGGTTTATCAAGTTTATTTTCATTTCAAAACCGCTAACTAGCTAGCTGTTTTTCTGTGCGCGTGCTCCTCGTTTTTTTGGGGGGGGGGACAAATCTAATAACCAGTTAAATTCCTCGTGCTTTCTCACTTCTTAATGTATCTGCTTCGCCTTAAATCTCTCTGTCTGCCTGCAGGATTTCCGGACCCACGCCGACCAGTCCTGCAGATACGCCGAGGAGTTTGTTAACATTTACTACGACTGCGTGGACAAGAAAAGGAGGGTGGGCACTTTGTTCCCAGAGTGAAAAATTCAAGCGTGTCCCCTCGAGTTGTAGTGTACCCTGCATGCCCACGTGTGGGTCTGTTTCAGGCGGAAGAACCGCAGTCTGGAGACGTGTTTGTATATATTGGTAAAGATGTGCTGTTGCTTGGTTCCCTCAGCAGGGAGCAGTGGCATCCAGGACTCATCTTTGTTTCAGATCTGTTAGCAGACTAAATCTTTGTGCAAAAAGAAACAAACAAACAATCGAAATAAGTTCATCTTTTCTTGCTGCATTATTATATTCACACAAAAAAATGATTAAATGTCCTTCTATATAAGCTCTCCATACTTTAACTCCTTTTCCACTTCAGGAGAGCACTACAAGTTCACAGCAGGACAGATTGACTTGTCCACTTTTTTGTTTTTAAATCCATGATGAACTATTTCTGTATTTATATTTGTCATGTTTTGAATCATTTTAAATTTTTCAACAGAATGCAACAGATTTTTAGTGGAAATCTCAAATTTCAAAGAGTTGATGGTGGTACACCCTCTATTAAAGTGACTCGCACCCTTTTTATAGTCCCGTTTGAATAGGCAAACAACTCACATTTACATTTATTATGGTAGGGCAGGCCTTTTGTTTGCTTTTTTCAGGCATGAGAAAGGTAGCGTCTGATAAATATGACTCATCGAGCCTAGTTGCAAAAAAGATCATCAGATTTATACCTGTGAGGAAACAGGAAGTTATAAATTGCTAGTTAGATGCTCATAAAAATCGTAAAAATTCAAATGTGACAATCACATTAACTGTGTGACTGCTCAATTAGTTTAAAAAATCTTTTTACAGTTAAAAAATGTGCTAATTTATTGGATGTGGAATATAAAAGTCACATAAAAAATGGAATACAATTTAATAGTAACACAGAAAACCACTACTTCAGTTCATTTTTAGCGTTATTATCTGGAGATTACCAACACTTTCAGACCCAGTCCAGCAGAGGAGAGGAATTTCTGTTTTAAGGCGGTGCGGGTCACTCGTGGCCGCTGTTAATCACCGACTTGTGTGTTCCAGAACCTGACCCGGCTCTACCTGGACAAAGCCACGTTGGTGTGGAACGGCAATGCGGTTTCAGGACAGGACGCTTTGGGCGAGTTCTTCGAGTCGCTGCCATCCAGCGAGTTCCAGGTTCAAACTCTGGACTGCCAGCCGGTTCACGGTGAGTGAAGTTTAAATCACTTTTAGGCAAAAAAAAAAAAAAAAAAGGAATAGTAATAACTCATAACATCCTCGTAACATTGTCTTTTCACAGAGCAAGCAACCCAAGGCCAGACCACGTTGCTGGTAGTGACTGGCGGGATCGTCAAGTTCGAAGGGAACAAACAGCGATTCTTCAACCAGAACTTCCTCCTCACAGCTCAGGCCTCGCCGAACAGCGATCAGCCCGTCTGGAAGATCGCCAGCGACTGTTTCCGATTTCAAGACTGGAACAGCTGAGCCTCGTGTTCCGCGTTTATAAACTCGGGACGCTCGGCGGCAGCTACGTTTTCATGAGGCTTGTTTTTTTTTTTTTTTTTTACTTTCTGTAAAGTAAAACTGTATAAATCGAGTGCCAATAATTTTAATTTTGAGAAGTCACACGCGACAATAAAGAGCCTTGAAATGTTTTAATTTCAAACATTTGAAACTACAAATTACTGCAAAAGTTGAAGATGCTCAGCAGCCTGAATCAGGAGGATTTCTTTGAGTGTGATAATGATGCAGATTTGTTTCCCCGCGGTGATTAGAGTTCAGTCACTCTGTAAATGTGGCTTTCATCAAAAACAATCTGTACTTGGATTTACACTTAGACTATTAATATTGTGTTTAGAAGAAAAGGAAAAAAAGTGGACAAAATAAAGTGGAAGTTTTATATTATTTTTACTGTCCTTAATTCTGCAGCATTGCTGAGTTCAGCGTTTTCTACTTCGCAGATCATTATAACTCCAGCTCACCTCAGCTGCTTTTGTTTTGTGTTTAGGATTGTGTCCTGATCTTTATTTTATTTTTTTTCTCTTTCCAGTGTTCTAAGAAAACTAAATATCAGTTTCCTCTGTAATTGATTACACTGAAAATGCTGTGGAAACAAATCCAGAGTTGTGGAAAACCCACTCCTGCAGCTCTTGTTGTGCTTTGCCAGGAAATACCAGGGGAAAAAAACAAAAACAGATAGTTATTGATAATATTTTGGTTGTTTTTCTACAAAATAAAATATGCTCTTTTTGGGTGTAAACATTGTAACTCGAGTAAAAAGTTAAAATGTAAATTTAGTGTTATGTACTGAAAAGTTACTGAATGCCTGGAGTTATTATTCACAGGAAAGGCTGAGTGATGTTAAAAATGATTTCAGAATTAATTTGAAGTATTTTAGATTGTAGCTGAAGCATCTTAGACAAATCAGAGGAGACGCATCGAGTTTGAGGAATCCACAGCAGGTCCTGAATGTTGTGATCTCAGGTTTTAGCACCAACCTTTCCTCATTTTGTATAGGCTCGGTTTTTGTTGTATTTCAGATTGTTCACAGATAATCGTGTTGAATTTGTAGACAGACATTCAGGCCAACGTGTTGGCTTAAAACTTTACAAAAACCATCAGCGAGCCTTACTTGGGTAAAATCACAACAGGATGAGTTTATCCAACTTAGCAGCAGGATTTGCAACAAAGAAACTGCTGCTAAAAAAGAAATTTTTTTTTAAAAAGTTTCTTCTATATAGCAGACTTATCCCTCTGACTTCACCACAGAAGGCTCTCTTCTAAGGCATGTGAGTCAATAACGCATCCTGTTGCGTCAACGTTCACGGCACTGACGCATAATCTGATCCGCGGGAGTGGGCTTATAAACTTTTCCATGAATAACGGGACATCTCCCAAAGGCAACAATCCAGGCTTTATGAGGCAACTGAGTATTTTCCACCATGAGGCAAAAAGGTCTAAAACACGCTCCAAGATCAGAGCTTTCAAATTTGGTCACCGTTTTAGGAAACGTCCTGAGTAATAATAACAACTTCTCCTGGAAGTCAGGGTCAGTTCTCAAAAACTGAAACGGAAGCAAGGGAATTACTGGAAACCCACAAGCACTAGGAAAAGATTTGTGCCACCGGTGGCACAGGAATTTGCACAAAAAAGAAAAAAAAAAAAAAAAAAACTGCTCTACAGACATGTACAAAAGAAATCTACCAAAATGAAACTGAATCCCTTCCAAACCATCTGATACTAACTGGACTGCCTGTTTGCTCCTGCTTACTGTTCACCTTATCTGGTCCTCCGGTTTATTTAAACCAAAAGACAGATCAAGTTGCGCTTACTCTTGGAAAAGCGTGCCAGCGGTTTCTCAACACTCAGCTGAAAGTCTCTTCAAAGTCATCAACATTTTTGCCCTTTCACGACCGACGAGAGCGGTGCGTTTCACTGGGAGTTAAACAGGTCAGCTCGACACAAAGCGACGCGTGGCTCTGAGGTGGAAGCAGAACGCGATGTGCTTAATTATTTTTTTCACTTGATTTGGCAGCAATCCACATATTTTCAGTCTCCCCGCCTCAACGCTTTGTATTTCAACATTTAATAAAAAGGGTGGAAGAGTGGAGAAATACCAAAACACAAATATAAAAAAAACCAAAAAGTGTTTATTTCTGAAATGCTGAACAGATACAACGCGGTCATGATTGGAGTGACAAACGCAACCGGAAGTGGTTGCCATCGTCTCAAAGTCCCGACGGCGAAAACCCGTCAATACAACAACAGGTACAATATGTAGAAAAACACTCTGAAGATGATGACGTGTGGACCAAGTGTACACATTGAACTAAGATGCACAGACTATTACAGTGGGGCAGTTGGGACTATATCTTCATGTTGAGCGCATCGGCTCTTAAATAAATCAGGTGCCCGGAAAATTTTTGTCATTTCAATGTTCCTATGGAAGCCCGACCCGCTCATTTGACAATTAATTTCACAATTTTATATATTTACTTTTCTTCCTGAGTGACCTTCTTTACATATTTGAGTCTTTACAAAAAGAAGAAACAGTAGTTGACCAAAAAAAAAAAAAAAAAAAGACAAGCAGACATGATTATTTGCATAAAAAACAAAAGCAAAAAGTGATCATTGTCTGTTTCTCTCTAACTGGGCATAATATTCAATAAATATGTAAACTCAACACGGCAGTAAAGTTTTTTTTTGAAACATTGGTTTGTTTTTTCCATATTTGGCTCTTCCTACAGTTCTACCACAAGTACTGCAGACTGAAGGCACAGTAACGGCAATACTCCAGTTGTACAAAAAGCGCACACCAAGCCTCTTCCGAGGATGACCTTAGTTAATATTTGTATTGGAAGTCACAGCAATTATTTAGAAACATATGGACAACAGTGGTATTTTTTTTTTCAAATCACCTAGTGGTAGATTTAAGCAGATGGCAGTGGAGTGCTGTGAAAGTCTCTGACCCTTTTGATGAAATTAGACCCGCTACTTCAGTGCATCTCTTTAGACCGCCGTAGATCCTACACAAATAAATAAAAAGCAGCACATACGGATCGACAGCAACGACTATGTACAGCTTCAGATTATTCCTTTCCTCTTAAATCCTGTGGTACGCCGGCAGCTTGAAACTGGGAATCAGAATTGAAAACCGAACCAAAGTGTTCAGGGCAGAGCCTTTCAGGCACTTTGGTAAACGACCACCATGGCTGCTTCCGACGTGGAAAACCCCCCCAAACCAAAACAAAAACAAAATCACATAATCTTTAATCTCGTAACGCGTCAGAAAGAGATGGACGGAAATCGTTTATGGAACGTTGCAGCCTACAGTAGCGTACGTTTCTGTCAGATATATTTCCTGAAAACCGAGACGTGAACTCTTCCAGACTCGTTTCCCTTTGTGCATTGTTTTGGCAAAGCTGGCTAATTATTTACAGGAACAAATATCGACTACTGTGGTATTTAAACATGTCTATTTCCTCCCGTACATCCTCTCTATATCGTTGAGATAGTGGTTCTTCAGTTCTTTCCTCTTCAGCTTGAACGCGTCTGTCACCAGACCAGTCTCTGGGGTCCACGGCTCGGGACTCAAATGCACCTTTACCGGAACCTCGAACCGCTGGAGTTTAACTAAAAAAACAAAAATCATGTTTTAGCCACACTCCCAGCCATAAAAACCACATTTTACACAGCTAATTGTAAAGAGTCTATTCTGGTTTGCTGGACTGGGAAGCTATGATGTACGCCATTACACATTTTGAACTCGGCTGCACAGAGAGCAGCTGAAACGCTAGTCATTAAATCTTATGACAATCAAGTCACTAAAGTTAGTAAGGAAGAGAATATATTTTTTGCCTTTTTGTCTGCACATAATGGCATAGAAATGATCAAGGAGTCATATCAAAACAGAAAAAAAATTGTAGTTATAAATGTGGAATCACAAACAACTTGGATTCAGTAAATTTCTATTCTTATAAATTGGATTAGTATCAAGAATCAAAAACATAAATTATTCAATCCAGACTCAGGCATCCTGTCAGCTAACTCTTACTTTTAGCTGCGACCTCGGTGATCTCCCTCAGAACCTCTTTTTCCATTTCAGGATGGTTGCAGATTTCCTCCCACTTCCCCCCGATGCCTCTATGCTTGGCCAGCTCCGTCAACTTTTTCTGGTTCGGAACCACAAAGCTGATCACATAGTTCTGTTCACTGCAGGAACAAACAGCAGGAACAGGGTCAACGTGAAGGAAGGTCAACATTTTATTTTCATACAATAGCCGTCCAATGGCACAAACACTGAAAGATCAAGCCAATGAAAATTATTCGTGGGGAAAGCAAAAAAAATAAATAAATCAAAAAACTCCATTTATTTTTCAAACACGACTCTGCTATAAAAAGTGCTTTACCAAATATTTTCACCGTACACACTGTTTAAAGATGTTTTCATTTGCATTTACTACTGGTTATCTCTGCATCTATATTTGCATATGCAAACGTACGAGGAGTCGAGCGGGATTTCTGAGTGCCGCTCTGGCAGCGGACTGTTCAAAGAGGACTGTTCATGTCTATATATCATGAATGAGGCTCTGTGTGAGTCAGTGTAGATCAACCACACAGAATCTGCTCCGGCAGGTTGTGTCAGTATTGTACGAATTAACCAAAGCTCTACAGTATAAAGTTAATGTCAGCCGAAAACAACAAGCCTTTAACTTAACTATTTGACCACGAGGGCTGGATAATAAATCAATGACTATATATCATGACAGATCACCATTTGGATGCGTTTGGTAGAATATTTCATAATTTCACAGAGCTCCGATCCAGAACCGCATGGCGTTCTGGGGGATGTAGGCAGAGGAAAGATTTTAGCTGCTCAGCCGTCCCTGATCAGCAAAGCAAAGTTGGTGGCATCAACTAACTCGCGTGCTCTTTGGTTACCTAGCAACAACTTGACTAATGCGCAGCATCGGTTTAAGGTTTCTGCTTGAAGAGGAAAAGGTCATGGCGACAGTTTGGCAGTATTTCAGACATTTAAAACTAATCAATAATTATCGATATCAGCTTATGAAATGCTTATATTGTGATGCATTTCTCAGCCACGTCGTCCAGCCCCATTAACAAACTGACTGTTTTTAGATTAAAGTCCCAGTATTTCAATATTGCTGGTTGAATCTTCACCCAGACATAGTTGGACAGTTTCCATGTTCTGCTCCATTATGCGGCTCTTTTCATGTGACCATACAAAGAGCCTGAAGCTTTTTCACGACCGGTTACGCTGGACATCCCGGTTCAGCTCAACCTATTTATTGTAAACACAAAAAGCCTTAAAGGTATAAGACACTGGAAACAAACCAAAAAAAAAAAACTCTTGATAGCAGTTAACCGGTACGTAATGTTTTATATCAGCACACATCAGATCTGTGGCTCACCTGTTGGCGTAAGCGCAGATGTTGTCGATGAGAGCGCAGGTTTTCAGAGCAGATTCCACTTTACCGAGAGACACGTACTCCCCCGCCTGCAGTTTCACCAAATCTTTTTTGCGATCTTCGGAAACAAAAAATAGGTGTGAAAGTCCAGCTTTGCTTTTTACAAATCAATAAGCAGTGTGTGTGTGTGTGTGTGTGTGTGTGTGTGTGTGTGTGTGTGTGTGTGTGCGCGTGTTTTGCAAACAGAACCGTTGAGTGAAGCAGACTGGGCAACATACACACCTACAATCATCAGACAGCCATCTGGGTAAACCTCTCCAATGTCTCCGGTGCAGAACCACCTCTGGCCGTTCTCGTCCGTAAAGAAGTCCTGATCGTTGCCGTCTTGCTTGAAGTAACCCATGGTAACGTTGGGACCGCCAATCAGGATTTCCCCTCTTGGATGTGGCTCGTCTTTGCTGGTGTAGCCCCCTGAGAGGTAAAACAGAGCAGTCAGGTTGCTCATTATCCCCTATTAAAAAATAGTTGCTGTTGTGCCGATTACAGCATGTAGCAGCGTGCTGCAGAGTTCTACCTTCAGCCCAGTCTCTGAGCTTGATCTCGCAGCAAATCAGAGGAGCTCCAACACGGCCGGTGCTGATGTCTGCGACTGCAAAACCAGACGGTCACTGGGTTATTCCTTCGTCTTCTTTTCAAGTCAGTCAGACATAAACTATTTTATCTGTCAATTACTGCAAAAATATGAATCTCAATACAGATGGTAAATGAATTTCAAATAATGGGATTTCTGAAGAGTTACTAGCCGGTCATTCCTGCCCTCCCAACTGTTCCACTATTATATCCCTGCTATCTTCCTGAGATTCCAGGACCCCATTTGGTCACTGAACACTATTGAGATTTCATTCTCAGCAAATTTAGGGGTTCCCTGAAAAATAAGCACCAATTTTCTTAATTTCGGGAAATCGGATAATGCAACATCAGCAGTATTCAGCTTGCATGCGCCACAAATCTGGAAGAAACTTCCAGAAACAGCCAATCAGTTTTCAATGTCAGTGAATGAATGGGACGCAGATTTAATGATGACACTCATTAAATGTCGTGCTTGTTCTCAAATTGGTGACTGACTTTTGTGTTTGCGACATTTTGGTTTTGTGTTTTTATTATGTAAAGCACTTGGAAGTGTCTTGTTGCTGAAATGTTATACAAATGAACTTGACTGATAAAATCCAACTAAATGTCATTATGGTTTGTTGCTGAATACATGAAAAACACTTTTGTATGCCACTTTACATCTTTGCTCATTTTTTTGCTTGTAGTGAATTTTGTTATTGAACATAATCCAAATTTTTCCACAATTAGTTTAGTGCATTTGGATGTAGGCTCCAAAGCCTGACCAGTACTTAATGTTGAAAACATTCCACATTGTGTCCATGTTTTGTTTTTTTGATGACTTCTGGCCAAACATCAGCCTCTGTCCAAAAAGAAACCCCCAACAACATACCTTCTGTGATGGTGCCGGCTCCACAGGTTTCGGTGAGGCCGTAGCCCTGGCCCACCGGACAGCAGAAACACACGTTCATAAACCTCTGAGTGGCCGAGGACAGGGGAGCTCCGCCGGATAACATCATCCTCACTCGCCCGCCCAGCAGTTTCTTCACTTTCCGGAACAGCAACCTGCACAGACGCATCACGGACTGTTTGGATTTGAGGCTAAACAAGCATCACGTCATGTGCCAGGAAAAAAGCGCTCTAATGTGGGGGAGGAAAGAAGCGGCGTTTAGGTTTCTTACTTGTTGCAGAGAGGTGCGTCATGGCCTCTCTTGACCTGCTCCAGCTTGTATTTGTAGCCCAGAGTAAACAGTGTCTTCTGAAAGTAGTTCATTTCCTGCACTTTGCTCATTACATTCTTGTTGATTCGATCCATGATTTCCTGTTTCAGCGGAAAAATGAATGGATTTCATTTTATTGGAAAATGAAAAAGTAAAAAAGAAAAGAAAAAAAAAAGCTGCAAAATAAAGTTGTAGATTCTTACCGGCACCGCTGCCATCAAAGTGGGTTTGAGGACAGAGGAGTCTCCTTTACTTCCTTTCTTTATTCTGGTGGACTAAAGGCAACAGAGGCCAATGAACTGACAAGATCAGCAATAATTTTCTCACTCAAAACGGGCGAGGCTACTCCTATGAACAAACTTTCACATGATTACGAGACAAAACACAGGGCTGCGTCACACTGTGAGCCATTTTTACCTGATCTGACAAAGTCTGGGGGGATGAGTAACCAATCCGGCAGCCGTATGTTACACAAGAGATTTCCGCTGTCATTTCCAGAACATGAGCCAGGGGCAGATATGCGATGTAAGTGTCATCAGGTCTGTCAAAACACACAGGATACATCCAGTCGTTACTGATCATCTTCTCTTCCACTTATTTATCTGAACAATGAGGAACTTTGACTACCAGTTCCCTAGCCGGTGGTTTGAAATGCACGCTGTCACAATAACACAATGTTTGAAATCAACTGAGTGGTGAACAGGGGTCACTGTCAGGCATTCCTCCAGATCTACCACCCTGACACATCAACATATTCGATGTTGACGTTTCAACATCGAATATGTTGAAGAATTTTTATTTCATAATCACTGAAAATGAGTGATGATGATGATGATGATGACTGGTGAAACTTACCCAAGTCCAGGGATGCGTTCACACTGGCCTGTCATCCCCGCGATCAGGTTGCTGTGGACTATCATGACCCCTTTGGGTCTGCCTGTGGAACCGCTGGTGTACATCACCACGGCCAGATCGGAGGGCTGCGGCGTCACTACTTCTCTCGCCGCTGCAGGAGAAATAAAACATTCACTGTCTTTTGCAGGCAGTAATTTAAAAACGACTTAAGTTGAAGAAATGCACACCGTTCTCCGGCAGGACGCCCAGGTCCCGTACCGCCTGCATGCTGTGGATGGAAAGTCCTTCTGGGTAGCCTTCTGTGTTCATCTTCTTCTGGTCCACATAGATGATGTGCTTCAGTTTGGAAATCTGCGGTAGTACTTTCTGTAGAAATATAACAGTCAATGTGAATCATTCAACATAAAGGTTAGTCTATTTTCATTGGCTGATTCATGACACCCGGTGATCTCTGATCAACCTGATTGACTCTCTGTACGCAAACATCCAATTCAGCGTTAACGCCTCAATCAGATGTTCGTCCCACAAACCTCTTTGCAACCTGAGTCGTTTAGTTTACTTTACAATTGGACCCGTTTGGTCAGTCTGTCTCCATCGCCATCCTCACTTGGCACATTTCCAGATCACAAAAAACAAACAACCATGCGTCGGCATTTTTATCCGGGGAAAGTACAGCATGTTACAGGCGTCGGGTGTCCAGCGCTGTTTGGAAAGTTCTGCGCTGCATCGTTCAGCTGTTGTGTTAAATCAACATCCTGCAGCTCTGATCCGGGGTTTCCACTAATTTAAAGTTTAAGACTTGATACTAAACTAGAACATGAATTAGTTATGATAAATTACTTAACTTATATTTCATTCAACTGACCATTTAAGAAAACTGAAATCCAAGTACTCCATTTTAATATCTTTCTGTAGTGTGGAGAAACCTTCATGAAAGTTATCAATAACAGGTTTCAGCCAATTACTGATTTCCCTGTGTTAAAGCCAAGTCTGGTAATATCTGATATGATGATAATGTTTAGATTTTAATAGGCCAGTTTCAGAAACACAATTCTTCTGCAGGTTGATTCAGTTGAGGGCTGATTCTTTGAGGACGCTTCTCTTTCCAACAGTGTTTATTACTTTCCTGCATTATGATTTAACAGCAGTGTGATAACGAGCCTCTTTCGATTAAATACCACAAATAATGGAACAAAATTAACTTCACCTGTGAAATCCCCCGCCCCCACAAAATTTCTGAAATTCTTTGTGTATTTCAGATTTTTTTATGGGCCAAAACTGAGTTAAATAAATGTAAGACTTTCTGAATTTGCAAAACCCGTTTGAGTAAAACGTGACTAAAACAGCTGACGTATTCCAAATGATTTATAAATGGCACTACAATATTCATTTTTGTGATTTCAGAAAGGATTGCAATATTTGTTATCCCTGAATGAATTCACTCAAACCCTTCCTTGTTTTGGAATATGGTTATATAGTTGCTAAATCTCCCATAGAGTGACGTGAACATTATGATATCATGCTTGGAGAAAAACTTTACAATCAAAAACAGTTTAGAGCCTTCATTTAAAGTCACGCCTAATCTAATTTCTGCACATATTAAAATGTCTTCAATTGATTTATGCACAATAAACCACATTATACTCCTGTCTTCTTCTAGGTCTCATGATGGCCTTTAAAAACCACATAATTAGACACACATATTTTCAAGCACGGCTTTAAAAGAATCAACTCACTTTGAGTTTGCTTTCCAGCAGCTCCACGCTGGTGACCAAGTGAGTGACTCCAGTTTCGTTCAGTCCATAGGCAATCGCATCTTCTCCCAGTGTGGCATAGAACGTCACCACTGTAAACACGGCGAGTTAAATACAGCTCGTTTTTTCCCCCCCCTTTTATTTGTATGCATTTTTCAAGACATCAGCTTGCAGTGGGTTTTCCTTACATGGGAAATTGTGCCTGAAGCATGCCTGAGCAGTTATCATCCACTCTGCTCTGGTTTCGCAGAAAATGGCGATGGTATTTTTGGGCTGCTGGTCCAGAGCCGCCAGTCCGTTGCCGAACTCGCTCACTATAGAGTCCAGCTCGTTGTAGGACAGCCACCTGTATTCTCCCAGTATCACCTCCACGGAGAAACAATTGAATGAAGCTTTAGAGACGCCCCCGAACAGGTAAGAGTGGAAAAATTAGACAGTCCTACCTTTTTAAACATTTTCCCGTTGGGCTGGATCTCGTTCTCTTCGCTCAGCACCTCTCTGGTGCCGAGACAATCGGCTGGTCCGAAGCGCTCCACTGCGTGCTTGAACAACTTGTCCAGCGTGTCCTTCCCTGGGAAGTCCTCTGTGGCCAGGGAATCAAAGTGGTCCACAGAGCGGTACGGCCCCTCTGGGGACCCTGTGGTGGAGCGGGCCTTCATTCTCGTAGACTGCGTCCTTTTTTGGCCGGCTCCGGTGATGAAGTACCAGGGCAAGAAGGATATGAGGGAGTACAGCCAGATCAGAAGGTGGACTGGAAAGAGGAGGATTGACTTGAGGGTTGAGTCTGACTGGGCGCCCATGATGCTCTCTGGGTGCGTTTAGAAGGGAAGTGAAAAGCAGACCTTGGTTTATCAACCGCGACTGGACCTTTATCCTGGCACAGGAAAGGACCGCAGACAGATTTTCACAAGGTCTCCCAGGCGCAGAATGAAGGTTTCTGGTCCAATGTCCCCACAGATTCAGCTAAAACCAGAAACACACACATAAAAACACTTCAATATTAAAATAAAATGTAATTTAAATGCTAAAAAATCTGACTTAGTTTGCATCATAAAGTTTGATCTTATTTGTCTTTACCGAGGTAGGCATGGGTAAGTTATTTGTATCATAATTGGTCAATTGCGTTATTTTTACACAAAGTTATTATATTGAGAGATTCTCTCACTGGCCTATATCTAGATTTAGTGAAGAGCAATAATTATTTAATGTTAAACTGTTGATGTATGACGCTTCCGCCGCATCAACCAGTAAAAAAAGGGAAGTTTTCAATTATGGCAGACTTGAGATCCGAAGAAAAAAAAATAGAACTAGAAAAAATAACTGTTTTAAAATCCAAGAAGTGAAAATCTCACAAGTTGCCAACAAATCTAACCAACACAACTGCAAGCAGAAAAGACATTTCTACATTCGCCACAACAACAATCAGTGTCATCACTTACCAGATTCTTCCCTCACTCTGTAAAAATCAGGCAGCAAACCTCTAGCTTTAAGTAAAACCTTCTCAAGTCACAACTGATCCCTCCCTTTCACTCGAAACACCTGGTGTCTTTCATAAACTAAAGAGGCAGGGGGTCATCTGAGAGGTCACAGAGGGATGAAGCAGAGTGGACACGTCGTCCTCACTGGCCCGGCTGGCTGCCGTCCAATAACAGCCGTTGGAGCCATGCTGGAGGGGATAGAGCGTCAGACAACCAATGACGATGCTCTTGAGGCTCACCCCACTCAGTGGTCAGTGGAAGGGCCACTGTAGGTCAAGCTCAGCTCGACAATGACCTCACCGAAGCGGATGTAGAGGAGATGAAAACCAGTGAAAGTGTGATTTAAAAAAACAAAAGAGGCTGAACACACAACCAGGATGAACAAACATAAAAATGTGTGCTGGAGTCTGTTTAAACAAAGGGTTAATTGTAACGTGTAGTATTCATTATTTATGCAGTTGCTAAGGGTGGAGTGACATGTGCGTCCAACTGCTTGGAAACCTTATCTTGAAATTTGCAAATTTCCAAACAGTTACTGCTTCAATGCAATATTTGGTAAGCCACTATATGTTAGGTTCCCTAAAATCATAACCTGCTTTGGAATATTATACGACACCAGTTCTGCACAAACCCTCACTGTTCTTGATGCTCACTATTGAAACCGACTGAAAGAGCTCACAGAGAATGGTGCGAACATCACTGTGGAAAATATGGCTCAGCTATGACTTGCGTCGTTATCGTAACTTGAGGTTTTTTCTGCATTTTAAAAATAACAGTGTCGCCGACACACATTTTGAGACCACATGTTGAAGATTTGAATCAGTTTCCCCTTAAACAGATCCTTTTTTGTGAAAAAATAAAAACTATTTAATAAATGCATCAAAACTAAGACTGTTTTAAAGATTTTTACAGAACCAGAAACGTCTATTTTTAAAATGGCATGGGAAGAAAAGCTGGGGAAGCTGCTTTGCAGAATGTAGCCTCTATATACGTGGTGCATTCATGCCACCACTGATTTCGCACTAGCACAGATAACAGAAAGCACTTTTGGAAGAGGAAGAGAAAACACAATCATAGTTTAAAAATTAGCTTGAAAAAATTACATCAGTTTCAAACTGAAATGACCTAACTGATTTAGCTTTAATGTTAGCATGACAAAAATGACCTCTGATATATTTGTTCTTAAATTGAATAACTTAAAAAAAATTGGATTTGTCTCTTTCTCTGACCCATATTACAGTACGTTTAAATTCGCTTACACTGAAATATACGCAGCATACTTATTTTAATGCTAAAATTAACAGGGGAGAGGGCCAGGTGGGTTTGGGGGACCTACGTAATGATGGGACGTGTTCATTTTTGGAGAATGACGCACCTGTGGAAACCGCATGTTGGTTCGTGTCAGCCTGGCGCCTGATACAGAAATATTCAAATAAGCTCATTTTTTTTGCCCCCACAATAATATCAGAATGTTCTGTTACATCCGTCTCTTCACTGATATAACACCTGTGCGCAATTGCAACATAACAGGAGCGCGTGAACGAGCCCTCGCCATGGTGACAACCAGTTTTAGACGAATATACCCCAGAAAAATAAGACTTTTCAAAATATATTTATATATAGTTGCTGCGTTATTTCCGCCTAAACCTAATCTAGTTTAGAATCCTCATAAAGTTGCCAGCACAATAAGGCGTATTAAAAGAAAAAGCTGCGGAAATTGGTCACATTTTAACGAGGATATTCTTTAGGGACTGACTAAAAACAGGGAAGCAGCAGACAAAACGTTGACCCAAAAAGAAAAAGAAAAGCCGCCTCATGTTACTGGTACCACTGAGCAAGTTTCTCGCCCGCCGAGGACGCGGTGTGAAGCTGTTCGGTGTGGCCCTTCTAAATTACCCCAAACGCGACTCGAAAGAAAGGCGACAACGGGCTCTCGGTTTCGGTTTGAGACGCTCACATCCCGGCGTGTCCGGCACGTTCTTACCTCGCCGGCGGCAGCGCAGCACAAGGAGTCCAGTCGTGTCTGAACCAGAAATGACCGAAAGTTACCTTTTTCCTTTGACGTCTTACGTCATCTGATTCCATATTTCTGAACCAATCAGAGACGGCGGCGGTTTGTGTCTCTTACGTGTGCAGGAAGAAAAATACAACAGGAAGTCTCGGTCAAATGTTGATGTTATTTCACGGCTGAACTTCTTGTCGTCATTATTATTTTTTTGTTAATGTACAAGCGAAACCTTGTTTTAGCATATTTTACGTCTGTAAATTCAAGTCAAAACCACATTAGAAAAAGTTAAGCTCCGCAAATGACCACAATGTGTGTATTTATGTTTCCAGAATTGTTTTGTATTCCACATGCAGCCTAAACACATTTATAAATACGTTTATTACTGGCTATATACAGCCTTATAGTCATACAAATTAACTTTAATATTTCGCAGAGATATGAATATGCAACATGTGCAACATGATTTTTGTAAAGTTTTGTTTATTACCACTGATAGTGAATTAAAAATATATGAAAATGCTTGGATTAATATATGCTTTTGTGGAAAAAATATTCTAACTTCAATTTATCATTTATGCATCTCATTGTATCACGGGGGAAACACTCAGCAGAAAAATCAATTTGAATAATAATTATAGATGAAAGGCCTCAAATTTGGTCAGGACAACGTCGCCTCCCAGTGGTTGGCAAGTGCAAGTGCTTCTTTTCCTCTTTTGAAAGCATCCACCTGCCCCTATCCCCGGATGTACAAAACAGATGAGGTCAAAAGGAAAACTGCAGCTGAGTCTAAAAAAATGTATTGGTATTTTTTCCTCCCAGTAACATAGCAATGAAATCTTTAAAAATGAGTCAAAAAACATACTCAGATTCTTATGGCACGTCCTTAGTTTGTATACAAAACCAAGTTTGTTTGTGTCCCGTTCAGCTCGGTTCTGCAGAGCCACTGAGTCCCAGAGAAACACGTCACAAGCAGAGACGACACTCGAGTTCAGAAACAACTGCGATGAGCGCTTCGTGAGAAACGTGTCCCCTCCTGGTCACCTACCTCACAGGTAGGTGGCAGTGTTGCCACTTATGATTGAGAGCATGACGAGGAGATGCGCTTCTTCTTTTTCTGTATACCAGCAAAACCCACACAACCTCCTCACCCCGCCCTCAGACAGAAAGCATTATCATTAATTTGGTTCGAGGTGAATCTTTCAAATAGTGTAAAGAGGTGATTACAAGTGGAGCACTGGCTGCCATTTATTGAGATTAGCATCGACAGTAAACCTGCATGTACGCTTATTGTCCAAGTCCCCTCCGGCGTCGTAGCACCGCCCTCGCAGGCTGCCCCGTGCAATAAAAGATTCGCACCTCATAATTACAGCCCCCACGTGTCACAGAGTCGCTGCACAAAAACATCCAAGTCTGGCTGCAGCAGCTGCGTGGGCTCCAAACGCAGTACATGGTCGCGTCTACGAGCTTCTGTCGTCGTTCGCGTTGCGACTTTTAAACCAACTTCGGCCACAAAGCGCTGCAATAGTTGACTTTCACGGCGCGGAAAGCTGAGAGGAGGCAAAGCCGCGACTCAAACTGGGCTGATACGTCTAAACCGAACATGTCGACTGGCACGAAACAAGCGAAGAGCTGCCCCATCCCGACCAGGGTCCTCACCCTGAAGGACTGGTCCCAGTTGCCCGACTGTTACAGCCAGACCCCCGGGGGGACCCTCTTCTCCACCACGCCCGGAGGTAAGAAAACCGACTCACTGCTGCGTTGCTTCTGTTTGTCACTATTGCAAAGTGCAAATGTATCCCCCCTTCAGAAACGTAACACACAGCTCGAGTAATTTAAGTATTAAAATCGCCAATTCGGGTTTTTATTGTTTTTCCCGTGTGTTCTCGCGATAACACCGTTGAATGCAAAACACGTGGATTGAAAGCAAAACATAGTTCTGACAAGTGTACACGCGTGCCATAAGCAACAAGTTTCTTTATCCGTGATGTCTTTTTGCTGACGTCACCCAAACATTTTAAGACTTCCTACTTCAAAGTGTTTCATCTTAAAGTATTCTTCTTAAACTCTTTCACTCTTTTAAGCAGTCAGACGCTTAATGTGGCTCGTTTCCTCCCGCACAGGTCCTTTAAAAACGGCTAGAGAAAACAAACACCCCAATCCTCCCGCATGAAAACAAAAGGAAGTTTCAAACTCGTGACTTGCAGAGGGTGTGCATTTGGGGCTCAGATCAGAGCCGTTTGAGTTAGAGGTGCATAAAGGACATGCTGTACGAATTGAAAAGGAGAGGAAGAGGAGTGAATGTTTAATGCGCAGGGGAGACTTTTTTGTTTGTTTGAATTACACAAGTTGCGCAAGAGATCCCACCACTGTGTTTTGACTTGCATTCCATCTCATGTTTCTTCTTCTTCTTCTGCACAGTCTCGTCATAAACCATATGCTGAACTCCTCCTCCTCAGCTTCCTTTTGTCCAGGATCAACTGTCCAAGCCCCATTACATAACATGTTTTCTCTCAGCCAGGCTGATACTTCGCAGAACAGTTCAAACTCCAGTTCAGAATAACAGACCGCTCCCAATGCCACATGGTGCAAGTTTTCAAAACAGATCATCTATGACATAACCCGTGGGTGCCTTTGACCCTGAATGTACAGCTCTCAATCACAGGATGTCAACATGTTTTTTTTTTTATCATTAAGCTGGAGGGTTTTTGAAAATGTTGTTGTGGATTTGACTGCTTAGGGGGTTAAAAAAGGTAAGGGAAGCACGTCGAACTTGTTTTCTTTTTGCCTCAAAGACGACATAAATCCACATCCCTGTTTGCAAAGGAAGTTCATGTTGACTCTTCGCCGAAGAGTGAACACGAGTCTTTCTGTCTCTCTCTCTCACTCTCTCTCTCTCGCTCTCACTCTCTCTCACTCTCTCGTCTCCTCCAAACGCAGGCACCCGCATCATCTATGACAGGAAGTTCCTCCTGGACTGTCGGAACTCCCCTCTCGCCAAGACGCCGCCGTGCTGCCTGCCGCAGATCCCCGGAGTGACGGTACCGGCCACACACGCGCACCATATAGGGAAACTGCAGGACCTCAAAGAGGAAGCCGAGGAGGAAGAGAAGGATATCGGAGGTAAATATTTCCCCATTTTGCTTCTGTTTTCTCAATGCGTGTGTGCAAATGTGGCTGTTTTTTTTTGGCTCCGGAGGAGAAGCAGCTCATAAAAACAGGTTTACTGGTCTGAGCTGTTGACTTTGAAGGTAAATACAGTGATGGTTTATCTAAAGAGACGTTGAGATGCTTTCAGGTTAAATATGGGTCGGTGCTTTGAAGGTTTTCAAATGGTTCAGATGTCAAAATTCATTTCTATTCCCCTCCCTTCCGTCTGTCTGTAAACACAGCATGCTGATAAGTTCGGCGGTGTCTCGCCTCTCTGTTGTCCATTAGGGCGCGACCGTATGGGGTGATTTTATCTGATGCAACCGTTTTTTTTGTTGTTGTTTTTTTAAAAATGCTAATTGTTTTTTTGTTTTTTTTGTCCGTTTCTTTGCAGATGACAGCCAGTTTGAGATGGACATCTGAGTCAGCAGTACTACCTCCTGTGGAGTGTTGAGTTAAAACGCCTTATAAGTCGTAAAGGACTGTAAAGCATTACATACAAAGCTCTTTTTTCCTTTTTCACATTTTTTTATTATTAAAACTGAGGAACCTACAATGGAAAAAGTAACCGCATGTAAGGTGTTTTTCACCTTACAAAATTGGGAGTAAATTGTCTAACCTCGGATGGATTGGTTGGTCGCTTGTTTCAAAGAAACTATGGAATCAAGTATGAAATCTGTTTTGATTTAAACTTTTTTTATCTTTTGTAAATAAGAAGCTTGTACTATGTTTTAAGTTCGAGGATTATGGTTAAAGCATGTATAAAAGAGGTGTTTGATACATAATCAGTTTGCTTTTGTTGAATTCCCTCCAAAAAAAAAAGGGTGGGCTATCAGTACATGCCATGCATCTCCCTTACAATTGGTGGGGGGCATTTGGGGTTTCTACTGAAAAAAAAAATCAGCTCTTGCTTTTTGTATGGACATGAGTTGTAAAAAAATAAAAATAAATGACTAAGCTGTCCTTGTGTGTGTTTTCTGTTTGCAAGACTGATTTTCCCAGTTACATTAAAAATTAGGGGTCTTTAATATGATTTTTTTTACTGTTGTGGTTAAGCTGGACACCAGTGAACATAACAATGTCCTGAACTTCACTCAAACACATTTCTAAGGCCTTTCTTGGATACATTTCATTGATTTATCATGGCCTGCTTTGGAACATGGTGACTTATCCGATATTTCAGAGGTTTTATTCACGTGCGAAACCCAGACGGGCTGAGTCAGTGTAACAGTGTTGGCTTTATTACAAGGGAGACGCTCAAGGCTAAGTATAAATATTGGTGCCAAATCTGAAACGGTTCTCCGGAAAAGTATTTGCAAGCCTTGAACTCGTCGACATCTAGTCAAGTTATAACAGCAAACTTGAACGCATTTTTCGTTTCCGCCACGATTTTATGCCAACGTTCACTTCTGATATGCACACACAGCTGTGCATCATTTTAAAGTGGAATAAGGGATTTTTTTGTTGCTTTTTCCAAAGTTCTTGCAACATCTCGTGATATTGTACAATTCACATTTCCCTTCACGTACTGCTTCTAGTAGCTTACGTGACCATCCTCACAAAGTGTCATGAAATATGAGCTACTGTGGCGTTGAACTTTCAATCCTTGTGTGCTGCTTTTTTGTAAGGAAAGCCTGACCAGTAAGTTGAAAACCGCACTAGAGCACCCCTGGTGGATATTTTGTTATATTGTTTAGTGACGTTGAATCATAAAGAGAATATCCAAGATGGTGGAACGCAGCACCGAGCGGTTCATAGTTACGCTGTTTGTTATTCTCGTACGTTGTGTGTCGGACAAGATTTGTTCGTAAGTATCTGTTAATTGCTTTTTGTTTTATGTAACTTTGGTGTAAATGTTTTATTTTAGCTCGTAACAAAACGCTAGTTCGTTTGCTAATACGCAGTTTTGTATGTTTCAGTTTACGATGGCTAAAGTGATGGCAGTGGTCAGAGGCCACTCTTCAATAAACCGCTAAAAAGGAAAGAAGTTTGGTTATTGGAGCATCGTTGTCTAGCTGTCTAGCTGCTGAAGAAATTGAGAACTCAGGGCGAGGACAGCATAGTAAAGAACAACAGCGCAGCGGGCCGCAACCACAAGGAGAGACTCAGCACATCACTCAAGAGCCTTAGGTCTGGTAAAGCAGATGACATGGAGAACAAGGATAACGCAAGCAATACAGACGCATGTTCTAAGTCTACACGCTCATGTACGTCCAAACGTTCGTCCACAAGTTCTGCAGCATTAAAAGCTCGAGCAAAAGCAGAGGCTGCGCGTGCTCAGTTGGCGTTCTCAGAAAAAGAAGCAGCCATGATGAAGCAGAAAACCGAACTCGAGGCTAATTTGCATATTTTGAGTTCTCAGAAGGCTGTTGCAGCTGCAGAAGCAGAAGTTGCAGTTTACGAAGAGGAGGAGGTTCTTTCAAAAATTGAACAGAATTATCCATTAGTGGGACCACCTGCCAGCTCAAAACAGCGTACGGCAGAGTATGTTCAAAAACATTCAGACATTAGTTTTGAAGGCTTTTTGTTGCCAACAGATCCACTTGCCTGCCATAAGGCTGCACGTGAACAGTGTGAAAAAGCTATGAAAGAAGAAATGGACAATAACAGCTCACACAGTGCAGAAACAGCTAAGTCTAAAGTGGCGCACGTAGCACAACACAGAGAGCGACTGAACCCCCCCAAACTACATCCGTTCTACACTCCTCAATCATCAACAGAGGCACAAGGTGTACAGGAGATTACTAAGTATCTCGCAAGGAGAGAAATGTTAAGTTCAGGACTTCTGCAGTTTGATGACCACCCCGAGAATTACTGGTCTTGGAAAACGTCATTTCAAAATGCTATTAAAGATTTGAGCCTTACAGCCCAAGAAGAGCTAGATTTAATGGTCAAATGGCTGGGAGCTGAGTCTGGACAACAGGCAAAAAGAATCCGCTCAGCCAACATCTTTAGTCCAACTGTAGCACTGGACCTTGTGTGGCAAAGACTGGAGGAATCTTACGGTTCTCCTGAAGTAGTGGAAAATGCACTGTTAAAAAAGATCGAGCAGTTTCCCAAACTCAACAACAGAGACAACCTAAAGTTAAGAGAGCTGGGTGACATTCTGCAGGAAATTGAATGTGCAAAAGATGGGGATACTTACTGGGACTCTCATATTTGGACACAGCTCGCGGAGTCAACCCCATTGTGGAGAAGTTACCCTATGGACTACAGGAAAAATGGATCGCAACGGGTGCAAAGTACAAAGAGGAACATAAAGTTACCTTTCCCCCTTTCAGTGTTTTTTCAAGGTTTGTAAGACAACAAGCCAAAATAAGAAATGACCCAAGCTTTGATATCACACCTTCTGCCAATGTAAGCTTCAAAAAAGAGAAAAGCTTCAAAAGCAACAACAGGCAAGTGATTACTGTACACAAAACAGACATCCCTACAGAGGCTAGTTCATCTCAAACTAGTTACAGTAAGCTTATAGAAAGCCCTGACAAGGTTTGTCCCTTACATAAGAAGCCTCATCCACTTAAAAAGTGTAAAAGTTTCAGAGCAAAACCCATAGATGAGCGCAAGTTGTTTTTAAAAGAAAACAGAATCTGTTTTAAATGTTGTGGCTCTACCCAGCATATTGCAAGAGACTGCAAGGTGCAAATAAAGTGTATGGACTGTGGCAGCGACAGACATTTAGCAGTGCTACATCCAGGTCCACCCCCTGCTCCAGCTGAGAGCTGTGAAGCTGATAAATGATGGCGGGGAGACGCAGGATAGAGAAAATGTCTCAGTTGTTTCTAAATGCACAGAAGTCTGTGGTGATGTAGATATCCCACATTCATGTTCAAAAATAAGTCCTGTATTAGTCTATCCAGAGGGAAAAAGAGAACAGGCAAGAAAGATGTATGCAGTGCTTGATGAACAAAGTAACAAGTCTCTAGCTAAGTCTCAGTTTTTTGAGCTCTTTAAGATTAAGACACGCTCAGACACTTATAAGCTCAGGACATGCTCAGACTGTCAGATAATGTTGGCAGAACAGCATTAAACTTTACGATTGAGTCAATAGATGGTAGAGTAAAGCTCCCACTTCCAAACCTCATTGAGTGTGACATGATTCCAGATGACAGAAGAGAGATTCCGTCTCCACAAGTTGCTATGAAGTTCCCACACTTACAGAAAATAGCTGAAAAAGTGCCTCCTGTAGAAGAACAGGTACCTATTCTTTTGCTCTTGGGAAGAGACATTATTCAAGTTCATAAGGTCAGAGAGAGAATCAATGGGCCACACAGCATGCCCTATGCACAGCGTTTAGATTTAGGCTGGGTGATAGTTGGGGAAGCCTGCATGGGGAAGACGCATAGACCTACTAATGTGAATGTGCTCAAAACACATGTCCTTCAGAACGGCCGTGCATCTTACTTCTGCCCATGCCCTAATATGTTTCAAGTCAAGGAGTTAAGTGGTTGTAATTACCAACTCAGCACCACACCTATCTTCCAAAAGGACATAGAAAACACAGCTACCAGTCAACTGGGAGAAACAGTGTTTGACAGAACAAAAAATGATGACAAACCAGCATTGTCAGTAGAGGATAAAGAGTTTATTGACATTATGGAAAAGGAAGTGTACCAGAATGAAGGTAATAGCTGGGTGGCACCTTTGCCATTCCGCTCTCCTAGACCAAAGCTTCCAAGTAACAGAGAGCAAGCACTCAAACGCCTCCAGTCACTCAGAAGAACACTGGACCGGAAGCCGGAAATGAAAAGACAATACACAGAGTTCATTCAAAACATGCTGGACAACAACCATGCAGAGGTTGCTTCACCTTTGGACTCAGACAAAGAACATTGGTACTTACCATCCTTTGGTGTGTACCACCCACAAAAACCTGATCAGCTGAGAGTAGTTTTTGACTCAAGTGCAGAGTTTGAAGGACTGTCCCTTAACAAAGTCTTATTAAGGGGACCCGACTTAAACAACACGCTAATAGGTGTTCTTATGCGTTTTAGAAAAGAGCCAGTAGCATTTTCAGCTGATGTGCAACAAATGTTTTACTGTTTTGAAGTAAGAGAGAATCATAGGGATTATTTGAGATTCCTTTGGTATGTGGATAATGATACCAACAAAGACATTTGTGACTACCGAATGAAGGTTCATGTCTTCGGTAATAGTCCATCCCCAGCTGTAGCTATTTATTGTATGAGACGCGCTGCAGTTGAGGGAGAAGAAGAGTTTGGTCATGATGCAAAGCAGTTCATAATGAAACATTTTTATGTTGATGACGGTCTTTCATCCACAGCAACAAGAGAAGAAGCTGTTGACATACTCACAAAGGCACAAAACATGCTGGCTCAGTCAAATTTAAGGTTACATAAAATAGCCTCTAATGACCACAATGTAGTGGAAGCATTTCCTGCTGCAGAAAGAGCCAAAGATTTAAAGGACTTGGAGTTGGATGACATTCCCCTGCAAAGGAGCTTAGGAGTGTTATGGAATCTTAAAAGTGACTGTTTCACTTTTCATGCTGCAACTGAGAAAAGGCCATTCACCAGAAGAGGTGTCTTAGCCACCGTTAACAGCCTATATGACCCATTAGGCTTTGTTTCACCCATAACAATGCAGGGAAAAGCTCTTCTCCGTGATTTCTCCACAGAGCAGAAAGACTGGGATGAACCACTTCCCGCAGAAAGAGAAGAGGAATGGGACAAATGGAGAAGTTCGTTGAAAGATCTGGAGCAGCTTCAAATACCAAGGTGCTACTTCCCATTCTCCCAGTCCGTTGCTGCAGGGAAAGAACTGTGCATATTTTCAGATGCCTCCACCATGGCCATAGGAGCAGTGGCATACCTGAGAGCTCTCGACAGTGAAGGTCAGTGGCACACAGGTTTCATCATTGGCAAATCCAAAGTCGCACCCCGACCTGCACACACAGTCCCTAGATTGGAATTATGTGCAGCAGTTTTAGCTGTAGA